CAATAACAACAATAACAATAAATAATAATAATACTGGTTATGATAAATATGATGATAATAGTAATAAAAATAGTAATGATAATATTATTATCAATAATAACGATAGTATTGCTAATGATAATAATAATAACAACAATGATAATGATAATGATAATAATATTATTAACAATAATAATGATGATACCAGTAATAATGATAATATCTATAATAACAATATTGATGCTAATCAGAACAATAATAAAAAGGTTTATATGAATAATGATAATGAGAACCATGATGTATGAATAAAACCATTATTATCTCTAGAGTAAAGAAATATCAGAAATAAGTCCCTGTTCTGAGCACAGACAGCAGCATTGGAGTCACGCCTCAGCATGCCGGAGAATCAGAGAATGCCCACTGATCTATTCTTTTACAGTAACTAGAACATAAAACACACTCACGTACACACACACGCACGCACACACACACACACACACGACCGCAGACATACACACACACGACCGCAGACATACACACACACACACACACGACCGCAGACATACACACACACACACACACCCGCAGACATACACACACACATACGCCTGCAGACACACACACGACCGCAGACATACACACACATACACCCGCAGACATACACACACACATACGCCTGCAGACACACACACACACACACGACCGCAGACATACACACACATACACCCGCAGACATACACACACACACACGCGTGCAGACACACACGCCTGCAGACACACACCCACACACACACACACACGCCTGCAGACACACACACACACACACACACACACACACACACACAATCACAAAGCTGTGGCGCGTAACGTGGTCTCACCAAGATGGCGGCGATCAAAATAATCCGGTTTCAAATTTTGGCGCGTACGAACAATAGGTTGATCGATCCAGTCCTTTTTTTAGATCAGTGACGGCAACAGGCAGAAGGTTAGTTCCGAGAGCCCTTATTCGCACAACTACTTTGTAAGGATTTTGCCCCAAAGAGCGACGGCGAACAAAGAGTTAGTTCCGGCTTCACCTCGTTTGACCTCGTACAGTTCAGGACACATGATATTAGATATTCACGTTTCTATTCGCAGTTGTAAGGATATTATGTAAATAAATGTACAAATTATGTAATGTGTGTGGTAGAAAAATCCACAATGCAAAATCTAGATTTATTGAAAATGAGACTACAGTTTCGAAACCCAGCTCCACCTTCAGGTCTGAATTTTCGCCAGATAAAAATTCCGTCATAACCTGGTCTATGCCAATCCTCCTTCTACCCCGAAGTTGGGCACCTATGCTGTTCCTTGTGCCTCCTGTGATAAGCAATACTTTGATGAAACGGGCGACAGTCTCACTAAACGCCTGTCTCAACACAAGTACGCTGTATCCAGGGGACAACAACAACGCTCTCTTCTGCCATCAGTGGGACACAGGCCATCAGATGGACTGGTCAGCGACGCGAAATGTCTTTCCTTCCGCTGATGTCCACGTTTGTATACTGGTGGAAACCTCCTTAATAAAGCTGCTGCCTAATTTCAACTTGAACAGCGGCTTTTCTCCTGCCGATAGTCCTCTCGCTTCCTACATCCTCCGCCTTCTCCCTTATAGCGGCCACCCTGCGCACAGTCCGCCCGATCCTCCGACCTGATCTGACCTCCCTTCGCTTCCGTTCCTTTGTCTCTGTCTTCTGTTCCTCTACCGCGTTGCCTCTCCTCTTTCTCTTTTATACCCTCTCCCTTCCCTTTCCTCTTATGCCGGGCCATAGCCGAAGGCCCGGGCGAAGCTAGAACTTCGTAAATCACAATCCCCCCCTTTCCTCTTCAGACCTGAAGATGGAATCCAGGTGGATTTCGAAACTGTAGTCTCATTTTCAACCAAACAAGTTTTTGCATTGTGGGTTTTTCTACCACACAGAACTTTGTTTACTTAATACTATTTCATTTAATTAAGAAAAATACACGTACAGTTCCACAGATTAAGAATAACAATAAAAACACGACAATAAGCGAAGCATTTTATTAATATTGACCAGTTACAATAAATGTATATACACATATTTACACACTATTTACAAAAAAAGAAAATAATAATAACAGCATACAATAATCCCGCAAAAGTGTTTTGAGTATTAACAAGAACATAATTCCAATACAAGTAAGTGTAAGAATGAAGTCCATAGGACATACTAGTGACATCAAAAGCCATCAAGGTGACTTCATCATATGCTTGAATGGTCATAAGTGTGAAAAAGATATAAAGTTAAAATAAGATATAATAAAAGAATATATGAATTAATTACTTCTACTAAACCTTGTGGTTTACATATACAGTGCACAGTACATGCAAAGGTTACAAATATACTGATAATAATAAAAATAATGAAAAAAAAAATAATTATTATAATAATGATAATAGCAGTGACGATAATAATAATGATAATAATAGTAATAGTAGTAATAATAGTAATAATGATAATAATAATAGTAGTAGTAATAATAGTAATATTAATAATAATAATAATATTAATAACAAACATCTCCCTTCGAAAAAATAACAACCGAAATACTCACATATAAATCATATACAATTTACTTAATTCGTTTTACATGTAATATTGGAAAATACACTTAAGAGACTAGAAAGGAAATGCAAAGTTACATTTCTGATAAAATACTGCATTACGTAAAGACTCAAAAAAAAAAAAAAAAAAAAAATACAGTGTATGTATATGATCTCGAAATTCAGAGCATTCTACAGATGCATGAATAAGTGCAATTGATCTGCAATGACATTTTTAAAACACATTTTCGAAAATATTATACAACCACAACCAGGAACTAAATAGAACTTGTAAATAACTAAAATATATAAAAAAAACTAATACATATACACAATAGATGCTCAAACAGTGCAAGGGTATTTAATTCCAAAGATTATATAGTATTAATAAAAATACAACATAAATATACAATATGATAGGCTCACTTAGTGCAAGGAAATTTAGTTCCACAGATTATATAATAAAAAAAGAAAAAAAACAACAGCTTAGATGACAGCATGAAAAACTCCATTTATACAGACAAAAATGTATTTGGAATTATATAACAACCATGTAGAATGCCCTTTTGGTTCTCAATAGACGATTTTGGATACAGGTATATAAATAACGATTTTTTTTTATCTAACGATATTGATGTGGTATGTTTTTTTCAGTAGAGAATTCTTTATGTCTGTTTTAACGTATCGGAGTCATAGAAAACAGGAAGATGAATTAAAAACACTGGCTATTGATGAGTTTAACAGGTGCTGTATATGAGTCCTTCCGATAACCCCAAAGCGTAAGTTAATATATATATATATATATATATATATATATATATATATATATATATATATATATATATATATATATATATATATATATTTATATATATATATATATATATATATATATATATATATATATATATATATATATATATATATATATATATATATAAGTACATGTCCAGTCGATGAAAACAACACTACGAAAAAGAGGAAACAAAACTACACTGTAAAAAAAAAATGCTTACTTGGATACGGAAGAAAATAAACGAGACAAGAGAAAACAGAGAAAAGAAAGAAAAAGAAATAAACGGATTACGAAACATACAACCTAAACATAATACTGCAGTAAAAAATAAAGCTGAATGACTATAAAAAGGAGAACTTAACGAACGTAACTTTGGTCGACGCAACTTTGGCCTCTCGAGATCGACGCCTCCGGACGATGT